ACCTCAAAAGGCCTGAAGTTTCACCGTGGGCGTTGTAGTTACACTCTGAGAAGCTCATCTGTGACTATGCAACATCAATAAATAGCTGCCCTTTAGACCATCTTCCTTTCAATTTAGGTAACCTACTAGATAGTACCCTCTTTAAGATGTGGTGTTTGGCATCGCAGAGATGCAAAGAGAAGACATGGTTTGAACTAACAGGCAGCGGAGAAGGCCAATGGCTAGAAGATAAAATCCTTGAGAGATCCAAGCTGTGGTATAGGTTTCAGTTAGAGTGAGATAGCATAGTTGACAATTAATAAAAATGATAGCTTTTGGAAGGCAGGAATCATGACATTTTACTCAGTGTTCTCATATTTATTCCTTCATTCACATATATATATATATATATGTGTATATATATATGTATGGATATGAACAAGTGTATGCATATGTATGAGAAACATGAGTAGCTCAATCCAAAACATCTTTTATAATTTCTTACATGTGCCATGTCTGCTGTATGTGAATATAAATTATTAATATCTGCCAGAAACTGTAACAAAATTCAGCTAGCATCTTATGGAGATATTTTCGTGGTTGCCTGATAGCCTCAACTTGTGTGTCAGTCTCCTGGCGGGTAAGAATGAATTATCCTACCCATAGAATGTTCCGTACGGACATCTATTGGGAAAATAGAGGCAGCTATTTGCAGGAGTAAGACTAAGAGGAAGTGACATAAAAAGACCACTGTGAAAAGAACTTTTAAAACAAGAAGACAGAGATAACACTTCTACAGGAAGCCAAAACTTCAAAGGTATAGTATCTACCTCTTTCTTCATGCACAAGGTCCCATCTTTTTCATGCATATGAACTCTGATTAGTAACATCTGACTAGAGCTAATGTGGTTCATTAAAATCAGTTAAAGTCTACTTAGCACCATCACTTTCTTGATCTTATTCCTTATGTTTGATAGATGGAAGCAGTAGTTACAGACAGGAAGGACCCCCTGCTCCCAGAAAAGAAATTCTGACTTGATAAATAACTTTTAAGGAGATGGGACATAATCTAGTTTTATCAGTTGGTAATGGTGTAAAAAAGAACTAACAGAACTTAGTCTTACAGAGGTTGATTGGAACTTGATCAAAGGAATGATTATATTGACCCTAATCTGGGAACATGTTATGGCATAGAATGACCAAAGTATAAGCTAGGATTACTATTTGAAAGGCTGTGTCATAATCGATGTGAAGGATAATGAGGATCTGATATAAAAGGATCAATATAGGAATGAAAATATTTAGAAAAGGAAATGATCATGAAATGTAAATAGTATAAAAGTATAGGACTTGTAGGTAATTTGGAGAGAGTCACAGCTAACCACAAATTTTGATCCTCAGGCTGGGGGAATTCCTCCGTACTATAACACTTTGTTTGGCAGGCACAAGGCCATTGGTTCAATCACAGTACACACACACAAAAATTATGGGTGATCAGAAAAATGATAATGGCTTTAACACAGGAGGGACACACACACACACACACACACACACCTACACACACACAAATAAGAGAAAGATCAAGATCAAGAAACCTTTATTTCCTTTTCTCCCTCTTCTTTGAAGAGAGGTGGTAGTAAAGTTTGCTTCTTCAGACTGAGTTCGTTGGGTCTGTTTTCACAAATTCTTTCAGAAAACAGATGAAGGAACCTTTTCTAACAGATACTATTAAGGCCAGTATTATCTTAATAGCAAGGGCAAATATATCCTAGGAAACTATAGAGCATTATTTCTCATGAATATAGATACAGTTATCTTGAGCAGAATGTTAGCAAATTGAACCTATCAGCATATTAACTACATTATATACAATGATTAATTGGGTTTTGTTAAAAGAAAGCAGTTAATGTAATACATGAGAACAAGGGACCAAACCTATGGAATCATCTCAAGAGACTCAGCAATGCAGTTGCCCTCCATTGATGATTTAACAAAAAAAGGAACTTTCTCAATCTGATGAAAGGCATCTATGAAAAACTTGTAGTTAGCATCATAGTGTATGTATTCTGAAATGATTATGATGATGGTTATATACCATGTGTATTTACTTAAAAATCAAACTCTACTCTCTAGTGGGTGAATTTTCAGTATAGGAATTAATACTTTAACAAAACCTTTCTAAAAGCTATTAAGGGATATGATTAGATTACAGATATTCAAGGATATATATCCTTCAAAGTGCTGATAATTTTTTATGAGCTTGGGGATATACACTTAGCAGTCCTAATGCAAGTTAACTTACAAAATATGGAAATCTCAACAACGCTGTACCTTTTCATATTATGCATTTCAGGGTAAACAATAATTCTTCATACTTTACAAGGCAATATATTCTAAACTAAATTTATTGTCCATATTTAACCTGTTCTCCTGTAGTCTTGGTTATTGTTAATGGCATCACAGTAGTTTAAGTCCTTCAAACATGTACTCTTTTAGCTACTGTTTTTATTTCTCCTCTGCTTTGCAGAACAACTGGTTAAATTTTATTTTCTGCTTCTGCATTGATTTTCAGGTTTATCCTTCATTATATGAACATAATTGCATCACCACTACTTTAGTGTAAAACCTTTTTATTATCATCACAGTATTCTGTCTTAATGGGCCTTCCCTTCTTTCTCTCCTCCCTTTTTAGTATTTCTGTAATCATTTGGTTTTTTTGGGTCCCAGTGTCTTCTTTAATTTATTATTGTATGTACTGCCAGATGAACTTATGTATAGTATATTTATCAACATGTTATCCATCTGTTCAAAGCCGTTTTTTGCCTCTTCATTTTGTACTTGCCTTTAGTACATGAGCTTGGTTTTAAAGGTCCTTACAAGTTTGTCAATACACTGTCTTTCAGGCTTATCTCATTGTTTATTTTTATGTCACCTAAAATATTCACTGTTTACTCTGATACCCTTTTTCCTCAGCACTATTGTTTTCCTTTTTCTGTTCCAGTTGCCATGTTTTACACATTCTAGGATTTTATTTTTGTCCTTCTGTGGTGCCATGATCTTGAAGACTTTATTTATTGTCCTAAAGAGGCATGACCTGGTCCTCCTATAGCATTTCTTTATCCTGATGTTTTACTACTTTTTCCTTTGTTTCATAGTTATCCCCATTATCAGCTAAGCACATTTAGGGAAGAATATATTTTTGAATCCTCTTTTTATATCTAGAAAAAGAGAATTCAAAAAATACCTTGAAATATTCTAGAAATACCTTGGATAAATATGTTAAATAAATAAATATATATTTAAGATAAGTGAAAACTTTTTTTTGGATGTTGTTTAAATCAGGTCTTTTTTGCTAAGAGTTCTGTTGGAAAACAAGAAAAAAAAAGAAGCAAAACTTGAGGTCTTTGATGCAGGCTTTGCTGATTAAGTGTTTGATATAAGTCCAGGATCTACATGTATACTCTTGGAATTTTTTCTTTTATTTTCCTCTGAACACCAAAATAATGAGCTATTCAAAAGACCATACTAATAGTAGTTTTAATAGTACAATTGCCATTGATAATGAGTATAATTAAGTAGGCAGCCATTCCATTTTCAAAATGACTTTTTTTTTAAACTGCAGAATATTTTAGGCCTTATATATGGGAAATTCGACTGCTATTTGAAAAACATAGCTTCTTCTCTGTTTCCTCTGTTAATATTTCATTCTGTGGCAACTATATGGGGGAAAACCTGGTAGTTTTTAGTAATTGTAAATGGAGGTCTTAATTTAATTTTAATATTTATTTATTTATTTATTTATTTATCTATCTATTTTTGGTACCATTGAACTCAGTACTTGCGCTTGCCAGGCAGGCACTTGTGCCACTGAGCTATATCTCTGGCCCAGAGGTCTTAATTTTAAATATTGTTATATTGTTTTACTACTTCTGTTGTAATGTTTCCAGGAATCAAGGTGACAGTTTGAAAGATGTATTATCCTGATTTTTATTCTTCACTTTTCTCTGAATTTTCCTAGATATTATACTGTATTTGAATGCTTCTAGTATGAATGAAGTTTTATGGTTAAGACAATAGGTTTTGGAGGCTGTTAAACATGGTTGAAATCTTGACCTGTTATTGCAATGTGAGTGATTATAGAAATGATTTCATATATTTCAATCCCTGTTAGGTATTTTTAGGAACTCTAATGATTTCTGTTATAGATGTATAATTTTCTTTTGTAGCAATGTGAACTCTTTAAATACTGTCTTAGAAATGATAGAATAGCTGATTCAATGTCAGTTCCCAACCCCTCTAAATCTAACATAAATTGATTCTATAAGTAGGATCTATTTGTAGTAGTTGGTCAGAGAATCGGTTGCTTTTCTTTTCATTTCAAGATGGAAGTAGTCCTGGAAAGCTTGCAGATTATGACCTGTGAGCTTCTTTTAGCCTCTCTCTATATATTTGTCTTTAAGATGTTTGATCGAACACTTACCCATTGTGCTGCTAGAGTGAGGGGTAAGAGCATCGTCTTTGGAATCAGTCCACTGTGGATTACTTTGTAGCTCCTGAACCTCTATGAGCTCCATTTCTTTATGTTACAGCCTGAGAACTTCCTTGGTAACATTTTATGCTTTAAATGAGATAATACATTTACCTGCTTTAGCACCTTGCCTGCAGCAGAGTGAGCCCATAGTAAATATTAGGGCTTGGTGGAGAAGGCCAGGGTAGTTTAGAATAATGAGGATTACATTATGATTAAAGAAAGATATTAACTCAGCATATTACCTAGCATAAAGTAGATGTTAAATGAGAATATACCCTTTATCCTCATATACCTACCATACTGTTTGCTCTGAGCAGGTTACAAGTAGATGGCTTTCTGGCTATAATGATTCTTGCTTCAGATCTCCAAATAGAAAAATGAATAGCCTGGTTACTATGAATTTATGAATGTCAGGATTGATGTTTTAGAATTAGATGTGTAGACATCACATTAAAGATGTATAAATTAAGCTGTTTGTCTGGTTATACAGATGCTGTTGACTGAATATTTGGACATGAAAAATACTCGTACAGCCTCAGAACCATCAGCTCAACTCAGCTATGCTAGTACTGGACGAGAGTTTGCAGCCTTTTTTGCCAAAAAGAAACCCCAAAGGCCAAAAAATTCTCTTTTTAAGTAAGTATTATTCTGCTGCTAAGAAAGCAAAGTGTCAAGAAGTGTTAGATCCAAGGAGGATGATTTTCTGCTTTAATGATGGCCATTACTTTCTCCAGTTAAAGCTGATATGAAGTAATTTATAGTAAATATATATATTTAATTTTGTTTATTTTTTATGTAAGTCAGTGCGACAGTTTTTGAATAGCTATTTTAGAATATGGTTATTGGACTATCTAGAACTCCTAATAAGGGGCTGGGGATTTAGCTCAGTGGCACAGCACCTGCCTGGCAAGTGCAAGCTCAGGAGTTCAATTCTTGGTACCGGAAGAAAGACAAAAACAAAAACAAACAAACAACAACAAAAAAGAACTCCTAATAAAAATTTCTTAAATTTATTACTGGGGAGTTTTATATAAAATTAAGGCAAATGAAACTCTAAATATTTGTAGAAAATTTTATTTGAAACAAAATAAAATGATGCGTGTCGGCTTTAAGCCCCAAGTACTAAAAAATAACCTTTGTTAATGAAGTTATACAAATCTCCCTACCTTAGTTCTATTGGTATTTACATGGTTAGATGTTCAATTAAAGAATAATCTGAAAGTTTTTAAAAAGTTACTCTCTTGGTTAACTCCATAAGGCTATATGCTCAAGCTATATGTCTCTTGGTAACACCTAATAATTGATACTATTAATGTTAATGTTGGTATTATTATTTAATGATTGAATGCTCCCTATGTGTGAAGCACTATACTAGGTGAGTTTTTCAAAATAATGTTAATTAAACATTATTTTGGTTATAACATTTCAGCAGCAACACTAGAAGCTAACATTTATTAATGCTTTACTATGTGCTAGCTGACACTTTTGCCATTTTTGTGAATTATCTCTTTTTCTCATTTTAACTTTATAGGCAGCTATGCTATTTTTAATCAAATTGTCCATATAAAAAATTGAGACCCAAGAGAGGCTAAGTAAATTATGTGTAATCACACAGCTAACAAGTGGTAAAAGCAGGATTTAATTTCTGGCAATCTAACTTCAGACCTGTGTATCATTTTGAGGGGTTAATATATATAAAGTTATATTTATAAATACAAGAAGTATTGTTCTAATTTTTAAAATTCTTTTGCAGTAGCTAAAGCTCTAGTATATTTTACTGTTTCACCTTTGTCTTAGTTACTTTTCTTTATTGCTGGGATAAAATACCTCACACCCAAAGTTAAAGGGGGAAAGGTTTAGTTAGCTCATAGTTTGTAGAGGGTCAGTACCTAATCAACTGGCTGGCTCCAAGGCAGAGTAGCTTGGCCAAGAACAGTTCCTGGTGCCCACAAGCTTCAAAAGCAACAAGGGTGAAGGAGAAGAGTCTCTTTTTGTCCTTTATATTGTATCAGTCTACTGGGATTAGAACTGATCCAGCAATCACCCACTCTTAATCTCAGCACTTCACACTCTAGATTCAGCCATCTCTGCAAAAGTCCTGTGATCGGTCACATGAGGCTTTGGGGGACATCTAGACATAGATCATAAGAACCTTCGTGATTTATTTTACTGTGGATTGATAGTACTCATAATAATTAATGAAAGATTCAAAGTCAGTTTATCTTGTTTAATGGACAGGAGAATTACTACATTCCTGCCTGAATGAAGTTCATTCTGTTTATTGAATACAGTCCTTGTATTTTGTTTATTGAATACAGTCTGTTTATTCATTGTTTATTGAATACAGTCGGTTTATTCATTGATAGATGCAGTATCAGGTAAAATACTTTAAGCTGCAAGTACCAAAAACTTCCAGATAGAAATATGGGAAAGTTGTTGTCTACAAAATAAGGGTGGATGTGAAGAATTTCTTATTCAGTACTAAAGTATCATAAAGCGTCTAGCTCTCGTCTCTCTGCCTTATCATCCCCAACAAATCAGCAGTCCTTTCTATTGCAATCACAAGATGTTTGCATCATTTCTATTCTGATACACAAAAAAGAAATAGTATGTGATTCTGTTAATCTTTTAAAATTTACTTTTAAAATTTATTTTATAGACTTAATTATTTTAGAGCAATTGTAGGTTTAAAGTAAAGTGAGAAGTATAGAATTCTCCTATTCTTTGCCCCCCATTTTCCCTGTGAACATTTTGCAGTAATGATATAATTGTTAAAATTGATGAGCCAATATTACTATAACATTATTAACTAAAGTCCATAGATGGTGTTAGTGTTCACTCTTTATGTTGTACATTTCTAAAGTGTTTGACAAATGCATAATGTCACCTATCCACTAATGGAGTGCCATACATAATGGTGCAGCTCCAAATATCTTCAGTGTTCAGTCTAGTTTTCCCTCCCTTCCTAGCCGCTGGAAACCACTGATACATTTATTGTCTTTGTAGTTGCTTCCTTTCAAAAATATCCTATATTTAGAATCATGCAGTAGGTTACCTTTCCAGACTGGATTTATTCACTTAGCTGTGTTTGTTTCTCTTATTTCTTTTTGTGGTTTTTTTGGTTGTTAAATATTTCTTTTTGGGGCTGGGGATTTAGCTCAGCGGCAAAAGCGCCTGCCTGGCAAGCGCAAGGTCATGAGTTCGGTTCCCGGTACCAGAGGAAAACCAAAAAAAAAAAAAAAATTTCTTTTTATTGCTGAATAATACTTCCTTGTGGAGCTGTACCATAGCGTACTTATCTCTTTCACCTGTTGAAAGACATCTTTGTAATTAGGATAAAGCCTGCAATAAACACTCATGTGCAGGATTTAATGTGGGTATAAGTTTTCAACTCATTTGAATAAATACCTTTAGGAGCACAGTTGATGGATTCTGTGCTATTTAAGTTTGTGTGATACTGTAGATTTTTTTCCGAGGTGGCTGGACCACTTCTAGTATCTCTTTATTAATAATTCATTAATCTTTTTTGTCAAATACCAAGAAGCAACTAAAATTGTCTCAGAGCTGCTTGATTAGGCAGGCCCTGCTTTTCCCTTTATTGCCTCTCCTTTTTTCTGCCAGCCCACTTGTTCACCTGCCTCCCTCTCTGCATCCCTCCTTTTCTCCCTCCATCCCTCCGTCTCTCTCTACCTTCCAGTCCAACTTACCATTCTGTGTAGGTTTATTGCAGAAAGTAGGCTTCCAGGTTTTTAGATTTTATGCTGTCAACTATCACCTTTGTCTTAGTTACTTCTTCATTATTGAGATGTAATACCAGACACCCAGAGTTTAAAGGAGGAAAGGTTTATTTTGGTTCAAAGTTTGTAGAGGTTTCTGTCCATAGTTAGTTGGCTCTCTTTGGCAGAGAGGCATAGCAGAGAAGGATTATTCATATTATGGCAGCAGGAAGCACAAAGCAATGAAGGGAGGAAGGAGGGAGATAGACCCTCCAGGCCACAGCCCCAGTGACCCACCACCTCCATCCTGGCTTCACCTCCTAATATCACAGTCAGCTGCAAGTTCATCAGTGGGCTAATCCATTAGTGACTATCAATCACATGCCTATGACCCAGTCACCCCATAGGGCTTTTGGAGTACACCTAGATAAAAACCATAGTAACCTCTACCTTCCAACCTTGGATCATATGTACATGTTCAAACATTTAGCCAGTGCTTCTAAAGTAGTGGTACTGGATGAAAATACTAATTGTTGAAAATGAAAAAAATTAGCTTATTTAATTGTTACACATTTATTATCACTGACACAGAATTAGGTGGTTATTAGACATTTATCTGCCTCTAGTCTTGGCTCTCGTATTAATGAGCTGTGAGTTCCTGAGCAGCTCTCCTGTCTTACCAGGCCTCAGTGCCTTTGGCTATAAAATAAAGGGGAAGACTGAATAACCTCTAGTGTCTCTTTTACTGAACATTATAACAATCTGTGACTTGTTGCCACATAAGAAGAATTCCTACTGGAAAAAATACATCAAGTCCTAAAGGATTAAGATTTTGGAGGGCTGTGATCTGTTTTTATCATTGCTGTGAAGAACTTTATTACCTTCTTTAATTGCCCTTAGCTAAGGTTAATTGTGTTTAAGTTCTCTTACCGTACAATGTATATCTCTGCATTCTTTGCTCAGGAGTTTATTATTTTCCCTTGCCATCTCTGATCAATAGCTGTCAGCATGCTTTTTTCGAGGTCAGTAGCTTCTTTTCTGCACTTGACTGGCAGGTGGCACTTTTGAAATACTGCACACTTTCCTTTTCATTCAACTGGTAGTGCCTTTTAGTTCTTGGTGGGGTGCAGAGAGAAGATCAAGTAAAACAAGTGTTTCCCTTACAAACTGACATCGATCTTGGGTATTCATCTCCTTGATAATGAATGAATAAAGAAGACATAATTAAGAAAATTATGATGCCCCTTTCTTGTTCCTGGAGACTTACTCCTTTGTTGCTTCTGCTGTTTCATTTTGCTGTTCACTCCTCAGTGGCAAGAATTATAGAAAGATTCCTTCTTTTTTCAGACTATTTTCCTGCCTTTGTAAAAGTTGAGGTTTGAAATGGAATCTCATCATTTTACTTGATTTTTTTTCTTCAACCCTTCAAGTTTTTCTTTATTATGGATTAATTTTCCTTTTTGTGTTCATTGCTTTGGTTTTTAGCCACTGTTCTTTATCATGAGTTTGTTTTCCATGTTTCTGACCTTTGAAAAACTGTTTCTAGTTAGGTGTGAATGAACACTTCATAGCTTGGTATTTTTGAGAGTATTTTATGAGGGGTAGGTGACAGATTAAAAAACTAGCAGTCATTTAGAAACAACATTTTTTAGGACATTTAGGAAAAGAACAAATACGTTTTGTTTTGATGTTATTATTTAGTATTATTTCCATTTTATGCCTTTGTACTAGTACTTGAACTGGGGGAGTTAGAAAGGCAAGACTTCTCCCCCTAGAGGAGCTGAAATGTCTGTGGTGACAGTTAGTAGTCACTGCTGGGTTTTGAGCTGGATAATAACAAAATTAGAATGTCCAGAGGATACCCTTGGTACTGAGTGTGTAGAAATCCTGTCAAAGGATGATGGAAGTCTGAAGGCAAAGGCAAGCTGAGGCAAGTCAAAGTTGTACCAGTTGAAATGGAGAATAAACAAATGATCCAAATACTGTTGTAGAGGAGTGTTAGCCAGGAATACCTATAAATCAAGATCTGGGGCAACTGTCTCTAGCCCTGTCATAGTTTAGCCAAAATGTCAAGAATACTAGGGAGTATCACACATGCCGGGAGAAAGCCCTTTCAACACTCTTTGTAGTACAAACCTAGATACACCTGTATTGTTGCTAATTAGTCACATATTTATCATGTGTTTCATTTCAGATTTGAATCATCCTCCCATGCTATCAGTATGAGTGCTTACTTGCGAGAACAGAGAAGGGAGCTCTATAGTCGGAGTGGAGAACTTCAAGGTAGGTGGTTGGACTTCTTTGAACAAATTAAGTTTCTGGAGGAATTCTGAAGTATTTATAGCATGTAGGTTTGTGGTCTACATTCACAAAATTCTTTTGTGAGTTTCTAATCTGTTTCTGGTAGAATTTTTGGGCATCTGCTGCCAAAGATCTGAAAAACCATTACTGTCATCAGAGGGCTTGTAGACATGGTACTTTTCACGTAAAATTTTAAGCAAAAAAGGAAAGGCCAGACTCTTCTTGCTTAGATAGCAGATCCCTCCAGTCACAGTCTAGCAGAATGCCTCTTTCTGTGATGGCTACTACTATTACTCTTCTTTTAATTGTTATTTTTGACACCTTCTAGAAAATGGGAAGTATAAGTGAAACTTGGAAAAGGGCAAATAAAGCCTCTGTGATTGTTTAAAGAGAATAAAGATGCCTCTGAATAATGTGGTCTAATCAACATAATTTTGATACACAGGATACTTGATACTCATGTGCTTAATAAAGGGTTGTGATCTGCAGAAGAAAATTATTTATAATAAAATAAAAATAAGACCAATTACATTTTCTGTTATGATGGCAATGATTATCATTATGATAAATGTAATCAATGAGTAAAGATTTGTGAGAACCTACCAAGTGTCAGACATTGTAGGCAGTGCAGATGATAAAAATCAGGTACAGAGACTTCATAAAGCCTTAAAATGCAGTTAGGAGAGCACGGCATATATGATGTGTACTAAAGATATGCTGAGTTCTTTAGATATTCTATATGTTAGTCCTCTGAGGAATGTCTTTCAAAAATTTTAGTTTAGTACTTGGTGTAAGATATGGGTCTAGTTTTAGTCTTGAGCTTGTGGAAAGCCAGTTTTTCCAGCAGTATTTATTAAAGAGGCTGTCTTTCTTCCAGTGAAGGTGTTTCACTCCTTTGTCAAGGATAAGGTAGCTGAGTATGTTTGGAGTTATTTCTACGTCTTCTAATCTGTTCCACTGATCCTCTGGTCTGTATTTTTGCCAGCACTGTGTTGCTTTTATCACAGTAGCTTGGCAGTATAATTTCAACTTAGGGATTGTGATCCCTCCTGCCTTGCCTTTGTTGCCTAGGCTTGCTTTTGTATTCTAGGTCTTTTCTGGTTCCAAATGAATTTTAGGATTGTTTTCTCTAATTCTGTGAGATATGCTATTGGTATTTTGATCAAGATTGCATTCGACCTATGAAATAATTTTGGAAATGTGGCCATTTTCACTATGTTGGTTCTTCCTACCCAAGAATAAGAAATATCTTTCCATTTTCTGATATCCTCTTCAATCTCCTTCATCAGAGTACTGTAGTTTTCAATGTAAAGGTCTTTTATTTCCTTTGTTAGACTGATTCCTAGGATGCTATTGTGAAAGGTAGCGTTTCCCTAATTTCTCTCAGTGACTTCATTATTTGTGCACAGGAATGCTGTTGATTTTTGAGTGTTGACTTTGTATTCTACAATACTACTGAATTTGGTTATTAAATCTATAAGTCTTTTGATGGAGTTTTTGGGGTCTTCTGTGTAGAGTATCATATTACCTGCAAATAATGATAATTTAACTTCTTCCTTTCCTGTCCTTATTCCTTGTATTTCTTTCTGTTGTCTAATTGCTCTGGCTGATGTTTCCAAAACTGCATTGAATATAAGAGGTGATAGTAGTGACATAGAGTATCACTTCTTTAAAGTGAAAGCTTTCAGTTTTTTGTTCAGTTAATATGATGTTGGCTGTTGATTTGTCATACATGGCTTTTATCAGATTGAGATAAAGACCATTTGTTCCAATTTTATTCTTCATGAAGGATACCACACAATCACACAGGTATATCAATAACAGTGAGAGTACCAAATATTAAGTGGATTGTATGCATAGAATTGCTAAAGAAGTTAAGAGATGAAATAATTAAATTCAGAATTTGTATTTTCTTCATGAGGGGGAGGTATGAACATCTTTACTCTTTTCGGTGCATTGGGAACACTTGAAGCATTTTCGTGCTATTAGTCTACACAATTTAATGTTTAGTTTTTAAGTCTAATCCTTGTTCTATACCAAAATACTATGAAAAAAACCACCTTTCTAGATTTGAAGATTGTCTAGTTGTTCACTTCCATCTTCATTATTAATCTAATCACTTGTAGATTTTTGTAGAGATTCTGTTATAATCACACATATTTATGTCACAGTAATAATTCCCCAGCTTATGTATATGAAAATCAGAAGTACAAAACCTAGAACCATGTTCTAAACCAGCAGAGGCAAGCCTATGCCACGTGTGCTGTGGCAGACTGTTTTATATCATTGAAAACTCTAAAAGGTTTGCCATTACTGTTCTAGGCACAGGAGAATGGCCTACAAATATTAAAACGTTAGGCATTCTGGAAAACATACTTGGCACAGTACAGAGGGTGATTATAATTGTGAACAAACGAAGGAGTAACCCACCTTGTGGTCAGTCAAAGAATGAAGGCGGAGGATGACTCAGGCTCTAGAGGAGAAGGATGGGTGCAAAGCATGGAAGGAAATGATGGTGCTACATAGAACACAAATTCTTACAGGAGTTAGGATTGTACTTGAAGTGTCATTTGGGGTAGAGTAGATTATCTAGGGCTCATATAACTTCCTTGTTCTTTGTCCTAATTTGTATTTCTCTTCAGTGTTGCCTTAATAGTTCAAATTTGCCTCCATATTTTTTACACTTGACTTATATTGTATTAAATTCCTTTAATGGTGATAAAACTTCCTTCCTTCCCTCCTTCCCTCCTCCCTCACTCCCTCTCTCTTTCTTTCTTTGAATCCTTGTCGTATCATTTTAAAATTTTTTAAAAATTAATTTATTAGTGCATGTTATATATAATATATCATGTTCATCATAGGCAATTTGTGCCTATACCTATCTTGTTTCTTTTTTCCCTAATTCCTTTTCCTCCCTTCAATCTGTCCCCCTCCTTATTTACAAAAGATTTGTTTCCATTTTTCCTTCTATTTTGTTTTCTCCTTTTCCTTTCTGTCATATCGTGAAGAATTTAATAAACATCTTTTAAATAAAAAATAATAAAGATCTTTTTGAGAGCCATTTTAAAGCAATGGTACGATACCATTTTTTCAAAGTTGTTTGAAGTCAGAACTCATGAACCAGGTATGAAAGCAGTTGACATTAACTGTTATTCAGGAAGTTACTTTGTCTCAGCTGTTTCACTTGCTGGTTTGGAAAGATGTCAGACAGTTTATTAACAGTCTTTCTAAGGCTGAGGATATAGCTCAGAGGTAGAGCCCTTGACCTAGTGTACATGAGGTCCTGGGATCAATCCTCAGTACTACTAAAGAATAATACTCTGTTAAAACAAAAGTTGAGTATTCTATTTAAGTGTTCTTCAGCAACTTTCAGATTCCGTTGATATTGTCTCTGTGATGTTATTTAATTTCTGTAAAAAAACTTATTTAAATGTTCAGTTAATTTAAAAAATGTGCACTTTGACAGAGTTCAAAAACCTGGAGTGTTTTCCTTTTCACCCTTCAAGTATGTGCTTTGATTTTAACAGTAAGCAAAAAATAAAACAAAACTAAATAAACATTAGAAGAGAAAAACGGCTGTTTGTTTAGAAGTATTGTTTTGGAACTTGAATTATCTGAATAAGCTGTATTTCTTCTTTTAAAAAAAGCCATTGTAGTTTTACATCACAACTGAGTAGAAAGTACAGAGTTCCTGTAGAACTGAGTTCCCCTCCTTCCCTGCTCGACATGGTCTCCTTCTTTGTTGACATCTTGCACCTCAGTGGAACCACTCCTTTGCCACTGTACGGTGAAAAGGTAGACCACATAATCAATAGGACAGCAGCACAGGCTGCCACTTGCTCAAATGCAGTCCTTATCAGTCAACGGGATAAGTGACTGATACCAATTCTTTTGTTAGACAATGAAAACGAACACTGGGCTATTGCCATTGGAACAGTTTCAGTTCTCTTTCAGTGGTCCATCATCTCTCAAGAGACAGCGGAGCATAGTGTGAATGCAGCGTAGGTGGTTCCGGGCCCAGATTGTCTACATTTAAAAACCTAGCTCCCCACACAGCTTTGCAGCCTTAAGTAAGGTACATGATATTATCTCTGTGCCTCTTTTTTCATTTTTCTAAAAATAGCAGTACCTGCCACATGAAGTGGTAGTGAAAGTTCGAGGAGTTGTGTATGACTTTTAAATCATACTTAAAAGTCCCATAAGAGGTGGGTTGAGAAGGACCCACCTAAAGAGAAGGACCCTAAAGAGAAGGACCCTAAAGAGGCAGGTTGCTCAGTGTCTGACATATAATGAATGTAATATCTTCCTTCTGGAATGTTATTTCTAGTACAGTACCTTGACTTTAGAGTTTTCACACACATTCTGTTTGTCTTTTGTTGATTTAAATCCTATTTAGCTTTCTAAGTTAAATTTAAAGGTCCCTTATTCTGATGATCTTCCTTGCCAGCTGCTCTGCTCCCCAGCATACCACAAACACATATACACTCTGGATTGTGTACTCCTGCCATATCTTTATGTTCTCTTCCCAACTACTTGCCTCATTAAATTGTGAGTGAAAACTTACTTGTTTGTGTTTGCAATTACACTATACGGTCCATGAGTGAAATTGTATATTAATAACATTTTAATTCTTGTGCTTTGCACAGTGCCTCATATTGTAAATGTTCATTAAATATTAGTTGATTCAGTCACAGAGTGAGGACAGTTACAGTGCAAGGTAGGGTAGAAAGATCACTATGGAGAAAGAGAAGGACCCTAAAGAGGTGGGTTGCTGTCAACCCTTTTCAGCTTCTTAGGTTTCCAGGTGTTTTGAAGTTTAAGGAGAAGTACAGGCTATGCATATGGTGTGTTCTCTTCAGTCACGCTATCCATAAGCTTTACGAAATAGAAAAGTTGCTCCTGAACTGTCTAGCCCATGAGGAGACTACCATATGTATTCAAAAATACTTTACAATTCAACCAAATTACAGAGAAATTTTATT